TAATCTCGTACGTCGAAACAAACCAACCAGTTCCTATTGCCACGTTCACGAGCATCAGCTGCATATCAAACAAATGTAGCTGTGTATATCATGTGATACTCTGGCACCTTAGAATTATGTCCCGTGGATCACATGTGATGCACAGAACAGGGATAGGGTTAAAGTAGTATCTATAACAAACAACAAAGATAATGCTCATGAACTTTTAGAAAAATATTTGCTTATAGAATGTTTTTTTTTGAAAGCTTTAGTTTAGTAATATGTCTGCTGATCCAATATTAAATATTTTTATTATTACATCTTGCTAAGAAATCTCACTTTGTCTATTTCAGTCAGTTATTCGTCGCGATATCTACACTTTAACAGATGGAATTCATATATATATGAAGACAACATACTCAAGTACTATTTTGAAGACTTAATACAGTAATATTATTTACCCATCATAATACAAATATATGTCATTTAAACTTTTAACTATAACGCTAAAAATCGGGCTTCAATACCAGCAATGGCTACAGCACAGTTAGCCCATTTTGTAGCTTTGAGCTTAACAACAAGCAAATAATCACTATATGTTTTTAATTTGATTTATTTTCATCTATATCTGGTAATTCCTCTGATTTATAAGCCAAATAAAATGCATTCAATTGCTTCTTAGATTAAATTTTTGAATTTTTTAATCTATATTTTATAAAAATATATATATTTAATTTCAGTGTCTAAATCTTTGTACATTTTAAATTACTTCAAAACCACACATACATACAATTTAAATAATTTTAAATATTTGGAGATGTCCTTCTATTATTTTACCTTTTTTTAATTAAAATAATGACTTTGTTGAAAATATAGCAGGAATTTCGTGATATGATTTGATATGCTTTTTTTTCCGTTAATTTATAGATTTCCATATCTGTCATTTTATGACCAACATAAAAAAAAGAACATGATATTTAAACTTCCCTTATAGCTTCCCTTTTTAAAATCTTCTCTAAGTTCTTATTCTATTTCATTTAGTTTAACAGAATTCCAATAAGAATTGTTTTTCATATTATTATGTTTCTTTCTAAGTTATAAGAAATAATATAGATATAATTAAAGATTAAAATATAATGTTTCGGTCATTTTCAAATTTATAATTCTTCCATATCTGAATTTTCTAATCATTAATTTGTATGATATTATAAATGCATTTAATGTGTTTATAAATGAATCTGCATCTAATTCTTAAACTCATAAGTATTTGTAAGATTTAAAAAAATGCTTTTCGTTGTTCCTTTTAAATTAACAGTAAGCCGTGTTTCCATCTCTTGACAATTTGTGTTTTATGATACTTTGTTTTTATCGTGATATTTTTCCCATTTGTAAAAAAAATGTGGAACCAATAATAGGAAGTAGGAAGTAGTTGATTTTTTGTTTCCTATAGATTCAGTATGCGTATTTTGTCCTTAGACATTCCAATCATTTAATAGAATATATTATATTTAATCTTGTACGTCTAGAATTTTTATGAGTGAGAACTAGACTTACAATTTTATATTATTAATCGATGCTGGTGAATATCATATCTAAAATATTATGTCTGTAATTACTACATAAGCCATTCTTTTAGTATATAAAAAACACGTGACTTTATCTCGTGGTATATTTCCATAGTTTAGTATGGAGTCAGTAAAATATTTTTTGAAACATATGATAGTTGTAATTGAGAAAATTATTTTCCAAGAATGAATGTTTAGGAAAGCTATATAACGTTTTTAAATGTTAAGGTGTTGTAAAATATGTATATATAGTGGGAAAAAATGTGCATAAGGTACTTTTGATCATTTAAAATTTTGACTTTGAGAGAAAAAAAAATGTGCATAAGGTACTTTGATCATTTAAAATTTTGACTTTGAGAGAAAAAAATGTGCATAAGGTACTTTTGATCATTTAAAATTTTGACTTTGAGAGAAAAAAATGTGCACAAGGTACTTTTGATCATTTAAAATTTGACTTTGAGAGAAAAAAATGTGCATAAGGTACTTTTGATCATTTAAAATTTGACTTTGAGAGAAAAAAATGTGCATAAGGTACTTTTGATCATTTAAAATTTGACTTTGAGAGAAAAAATGTGCACAAGGTACTTTTGATCATTTAAAATTTGACTTTGATAGAAAAAAATGTAGCATAAGGTACTTT